TGCCGGTGTTAGCTGCTTTGAGCCCCTCTTTGGGGATTGAGAAGGGTGGGGTAGAAATGTTGTAAATAAATAAATAAATAATACACAAATCCATGTTAGATGCTGGAAAATGCATTAATATTTAGGGACTTACCTGGACATGTGATGGGATTGCCTGTGCAGAGTTAGATAGTGGCAAAAAAATTGGATGAGATAAGTAATATCGTCATATTGTGATAACCTCTTCAGCTATACATTTACTCTTGCTTCTTTGCTAAGGATCAATGTTTAAAACACAAAGATCTGATTACTTCTTATTGACTCGTATCCACAAAGGAATTTGCATGCAGCTGGAAAAAAACATCGTTGAATTTTCTATAGAAAATTGGAGAAAAGGGCTGTGGATACTTCTTTTAATAGAAAAATTACCATACAGGGACAGCAAACAAAGACATACATAGAGGATGTTTGGATCCCATTTAGCAACAAAGTCAATTGTAGAATCACTGCAGAGAGCAAATGTCAACATAAGGAGGGATGTTGATTGACAAATAAAGTTTTCCTTTCTGTTGACGCGATTGACATGAAGTTGTAATTGAGTCCTGACTGAATGGTTCTATTAGTTCGTTGTCTTGGTTGTTTTGCTATATGCAACAATAATACAGCGTTAGGAAAGGATTACAAAAAGGATTACTACAAGAAGTGCATTCTACAGAAAGCTCAGTGTGTTAACAGTCCATACATTAGAAAAGTCTAATATAAGATTTTTTTAAAAAAACATTGGAATTAGAATCACAATAAACAAGTAATACTTAATTTTTTTTGAGAGAGAGAATGGTATGGTTTACCTCTCTCCACCTTATGTCGGCTAAATGCAAACTCTGGCACACAGACACTCGTTGGGCTCTAATATTCTTCCTCGGCATCTTCTTCCTCTCCGTCGGCGGAATCTCTCCCGACTTCCTCGTAATCCTTCTCCAAGGCCGCCAGATCCTCCCGGGCTTCGGAGAACTCCCCTTCCTCCATGCCCTCCCCGACGTACCAGTGGACAAAGGCCCTCTTGGCGTACATCAGGTCAAACTTGTGGTCCAGCCGGGCCCAGGCTTCGGCGATGGCCGTCGTGTTGCTCAGCATGCAGACGGCACGCTGGACCTTCGCCACGTCTCCTCCGGGAACCACTGTTGGTGGCTGGTAGTTGATGCCCACCTTGAAGCCGGTTGGGCACCAGTCAACGAACTGGATGGACCTCCTTGTCTTGATGGCGGCAATGGCAGCGTTGACATCCTTGGGCACCACGTCGCCTCGGTAGAGAAGGCAACAGGCCATGTATTTGCCCCGCCGAGGGTCACACTTCACCATCTGGTTGGAGAACTCGAAGCAAGCGCTGGTGATTTCCGGCACTGAGAGCTGCTCGTGGTAGGCCTTCTCGGCGGAGATGATGGGCGCGTAAGTGGTCAAAGGGAAGTGAATGCGAGGATAGGGCACCAGGTTGGTCTGGAATTCTATCAGGTCAACATTCAGGGCACCTTTGAACCTCAAGGAAGCGGTCACAGAGGACACGATCTGCCCGATCAGCCGGTTGAGGTTGGTGTAGGTTGGGCGCTCGATGTCGAGGTTGCGGTTGCAGATGTCGTAGATGGCCTCGTTGTCCACCATGAACGAGCAGTCCGAGTGCTCCAAGGTGGTGTGGGTGGTCAGGATGGAGTTGTAAGGTTCTACCACCGCAGTGGAGACCTGTGGGGCAGGGTAGACTGAGAACTCCAGCTTGGACTTCTTGCTGTATTCGACCGAGAGACGCTCCATCAGAAGAGAGGTGAAACCTGACCCTGTGCCTCCCCCAAAGCTGTGGAAGACCAAGAAGCCTTGAAGGCCACAGCACTGGTCGGCCTGCATTGGGAAGAAAAATCGGGTTATTGATGTCATTCCAACAATTGGGTTAACTCAGCGGTGGGAATGGTGTGGTCTTCCAGATTTGTGGGACGACATTGACCAGCAGCCTTAACCCAGTACAATCAATGGTGAGGAATTACAGAGGATGCAGCCCATCTTCAACTTGAAGTCCACATAGTTTCCATCCATGGATTATTAGACAAAGATGGATAGCCTCTTTTGGAAGCTATCCATAGGGCTGTTTGTGGCAGTGGTTACCAAACTTTGGTCCTCTAGGTGTTTGTGGCTCCAACACCCAGAAGTCCTATCCAGCTTGTCCAATGGTTAGGAATTCTGGGAGCAGAACTTTGTTTTGTCTCCACCAGTGTGTCCAATATTTGTTCCTCCTCCTAGTGTTTGGGACTCCAACTCCCAGAAGTCCTATCCGGTTTGTCCAATGGTTAGGAATTTTGGGAGCTGAACCTTGTTTTGTCTACACTAGTGTGTCCAATATTTGTTCCTCTTCCTAGTATTTGGGACTCCAACTCCCAGAAGTCCTATCCAGTTTGTCCAGTGGTTAGGAATTCTGGGAGCTCAACTTTGTTTTGTCTACATCAGTGTGTCCAATATTTGTTCCTCCTCCTAGTATTTGGGACTCCAACTCCCAGAAGTCCTATCAAGTTTATCCAATGGTTAGGAATTCTGGGAGCTCAACTTTGTTTTGTCTACACCAGTGTGTCCAATATTTGTTCCTCCTCCTAGTATTTGGGACTCCACCTCCCAGAAGTCCTATCCAGCTTGTCCAATGGTTAGGAATTCTGGAAGAACTTTGTTTTCTCTCCACCAGTGTGTCCAATATGTGTTCCTCCTCCTAGTGTTTGGGACTCCAACTCCCAGAAGTCCTATTCAGCTTGTCCAATGGTTAGGAATTCTAAGAGTTAAAGTCCAAAACACCTGGAGGACCAAAGTTTTGGAACTTTGTTTTGTCTACACCAGTGTGTCCAATATCTGTTCCTCTTCCTAGTATTTGGGACTCCAGCTCTCAGAAGTCCTATCCAGTTCGTCCAATGGTTAGGAATTCTGGGAGCAGAACTTTGTTTTGTCTCCACCAGTGTGTCCAATATTTGTTCCTCCTCCTAGTATTTGGGACTCCAACTCCCAGAAGTCCTATCCAGTTTGTCAATGGTTAGGAGTTGAAGTCCAAAACTTTTGGAGGACCAAAGTTTTGGAACTTTGTTTTGTCTACACCAGTGTGTTCAACTTGTGGTCCTCCAGGTTTTTGAGGCTCCAATTCCCAGAAGCCCTGGTCAGTTTGTCCAATGTTCTTGGAGTTGAAATCCAAAACAACTGGAGGATGAAAGGTTGGACACTTCTGGACATCACTGTAGACAGTGTTTTGATGACATGTGTATGCACAAAGTTCTACAGAGAATTTAGGACAAAGGCATATTTGATATATTTTTATGGTGGTAGGGTGTGGGAAGTGAGTTCCAAAAGAGTTGTGAACCATTAAAGCCTCATTTTGATTACATTGGCCAGGTGGATAATTATCAGGATTTACATCTTCAAATTGGTAAGGTTTGTTGAAAACAAATAATAGAAGAGCTCAGAATGTGTACCATTATCATTGTCTCTTTAGGAATTTGCTAGGTTCTCCAGATGATTCTATGGTATGCTTTCACCACAGCATATCATAGAATCCCATAGATTCACATAGGGAGGACCTATCAAAAAGCAGGTGTGGTGGAGGCTTCTTCTTTGGAGGCTTTCAACAGAGGCTGGATGGCCAACTGTTGAGGGTACTTTGAATGTGACTTTTCTGCTTCTTGACAGGGGGTTGGACTGGATGGCCCATGAGGTCTCTTTCCAACTCTATGATTCTATGATTCTCTATCTTCAGGCTCTCCAGTGTAACTCTATAGTTGACTTCCAACAGAAGTTGGCCATAAGAGTTGCACTGGAGAATCTGTAGAACGTATTAATAATCAAATCCAATCTGCAAAGGTTGAACCCACAAATATGGAGGACTAACTGTATTATTCTATATCTCTATTGAGATTCATATTGGGAACCATCAATATCTGTATTTGTTTGAGAAGGGAACATCATGAGGCTTCTCTACTTCAAGATGGTTGAGAAGCACACATGAGAATCACCACTAGGAACTTTTCTACCAAAGTTCGGCAACTTTGCTTAGAATCATAGAATCAAAGAGTTGGAAGAGACCT